GGCGACGAAGGCCGCCCAGGAGGCCCCCAAAAGGGGAAAACGGAGGCAGGGTGGCGGTATGGGTACCCTTTCCATCCTCTGAGTGGGTGGCGTGGTGTCGTCCGTCTTCTGGTCGAGCCGAGTCCGTCGGCAGGCCGTGGACGTCTGCAGAGAGGAGCGCCCCAACGCCCCCCCGCGCAGCCCGCGCCCGCCGAGCGTCCCCCGGAGAGGAGCCGCCTGCTCGTGGTTTCTCCGAGGTTCTCCAGCGTGCAGGAGCTGAAGGGGGTCCTCGGCCAGACCTTCAGGGACTTGGCGTCCCTGCGCGCGGGGGGCGGTGGAGGAGGGAGGCGTGGGGAGGGGGGGGGGGGGGAGGAGGGGGGGGGAGGAGGAGGAGGAGGAGGAGGAGGAGGAGGAGGAGGAGGAGGAGGAGGAGGAGGAGGAGGAGGAGGAGTAGGAGGAGGAGGAGGAGGAGGAGGAGGAGGAGTAGGAGTAGGAGTCAAGGCTAGCCACAGCTCGAGCAGGTCAGCATGCCATGCCAGTCCCACCCGCCTCCCACAAATAAGAAGCAATGCTGGCACGTATTGGGGACGGATTGGTATGGGCGAGGCGCGGGATGTGATGCGCGCGTCCCAATTATGCTATGCATTTTGCGACGTGGACGACAGGACGTCCATGCGACGGAGCCAATGACGGCGACGATTCTAGAAGGATTTGAGCATGCGCTCGCGGCGACGCGCGCGCATGTCGCCCGCGTGGTATTTTTTGCACAGGATTCGCGGCCTGGGTACATGACAGAGCATCGCGAGTGCACCGCGCGATGGCGTGAAATCGTTGGATTCGACCGAATTCTTAAGATTCCTATGGTTTTCCTATGATTTCAGCAAGAGAGCCCGGGCAGGAAATTTGTATTTGTTTTTTTTTTTTTGCGAAAAAAAGCAATTGTTTTTTGATGTTTTTATGTTGAAATGCTTGCAAACACACGGTGTTCGGTAGGATTATGACATGAACGCGCGCGTGTGCTCTTTGTGGTAGTTTTGGCAATGGATTATCGCCGTGGACGACAGGACGTCCATGTCGAGAGGAAAAAAATAAGAAAAATGTTGATTTTGTATTGTTTTTTTACAGGTTAGGATGGGACCACCCGGATGGGGCCCCTATCTGCCGGCCTAAGGGGGGAGTAGGAGTATATTCTAATAAGGAATAAGGATAGGAGTAGGAGTAGGAGTAGGAGTAGGAGGAAGAGGGCTGAGGAGGAGAGAGGAGGGAAGAGGAGGAGTGAGGAGGTGGAGGTAGGACGAGGGGGAGGGAGGGATAAGGGGAGGGAGAGAGGGAGGGGAGCGAGGGGGAGGGAGGGAGGAGGTTGAGACGGAGGCGGCAGGACAGACACATCGAAAACGGCGCAAATTTTTGGAGGCCCGCGCAGACTTCTTGGAACGGCGATGGCCACCCCGCGCCGCCAAGGGGTCCAACGCCGATCCGAGAAACCCGCGCGGACTTCCGAAAGTTCATGCTTGTTCTCGAGAGGAGGGGGTGATGGGGGAACGATGGCCAGCGTGGGAAGCGCCGAGCTTGCCTCGGCGACGCATCGCCGACATATCAGATGGCCGATGGGCCCCCAGAAGAACATCCCTCAAGAACACGAGAGCCTCCGCCGACCAAAACACACAGGACATCGAAGGGCACCCGCCCCATGATGCACAAGAACATACCGCAAACGCGAAAAACATCCAGCAAGGGGTTCCTCGGCGGGGCCTTCAGGGAGTTGGCGCCCCTGCGCGAGGGGGGCGGTGGAGGAGGGGGAGGAGGGAGGAATAGGGAGGAAGAGGAGGAGGAGGAGGAGGAGGAGGAGGAGGAGGAGGAGGAGGAGGAGGAAAGAGTAGGAGGATGGGAAGGACGAGGGAGAAAGAAAGGTGGAGGAGGAGGGGGAGGAGGAGGAGGAGGAGGAGGAGAAGGAGGAGGAGGAAGACGAAGAGGAGGAGGAGGAGGAGGAGGAGGAGGAGGAGGGACGACTGTAGCCAGACCCGAAGGTTCCCGGGCAGGGTGGGCTATGTACGCTCGAGGGGGGATAGGCGCGACTCGGATCCCAGCGCTCTCAACCCGAAGAAGGTGAGCGCCACCTTAGCCCATACGCTCCCGCCAGACGGCGGGATGGGTGAGGGAATGGGCTCGCCCGAAGAGGGAGGGACAGAGGCGGGCCAGCAGACAGAAGCAAGGAGAGATAACGACGTCCCTATATATATGTATATATATGTATATGTATATACACATACACACAAGACTGCACTGGCGTTTCGCGCCGTGCATCTTGTCTCGCAGCCTCTCGTCTGAAAAACATTCCACATTTTTCCCCAGACTTCTGCGCGTTTCCTCTCAGGAATTCGACGATTGTGGCTTCTTGAGGCTCTCTTCGGAAACTTCTTGGGGGAGCTCGTAAAAGCCAGCAGGCCTTTTGGAAGCTATTGTGGTACTTTCGGGAGCCGGGCTTGGGCCTCCTGGGGGGGCTGGAGCCTGTTGGGGGCCTCTGTGGGAGTCCTTGGGGCCTTTCGGCGACAGTTTTGGAGTTTCTTTTGGCTGTCTTGGGCGTCTCTTGCGTCGATTTGGGGCCCTCTTGGACCGTCGTCGGGGCCTTTCGGTCCCGGTTGGAACAGTTACGGGGCGTCTTGGTCCGTGTTTGAATCCCGGAAGGCGCAAAACCAGTACATGTTAGAAATGTGTGCTTCTCCATGGGCATTCGACGGTTTTGGCCTCTTGGGCTCCCTTCCGAAGCCTCTGGTGGGTTCCTCGGGCCGCTTTGCTGCGAACCCGGGCTCCCTCAACGACCGGGTCACGATGTGGATTGCTTTGGGGAGCGTCGTGGAGCCGTCCTGGGCCGTCATGGGCATCTCTTGGAGCCATGTCAAGGCCCTGTTGGGCCATCTTGGCGCTCGCTTGGACTGTCCGGAGGCCGGTCTGGTTGGGTTTGGGACGATTTTCGATGCCTCTCGGGCGGTCTCGGACGCCCGGAAGACCGAAGAACCGAGGTTCCAAGAATCTCTGAACAACTATGCGAAAATCAATGTTTTTTTTGCATCGAAGTGCACATCGGAGTGCTCTTTGGGCCGTCTTCGGGCGCATGGTGGGTTCTTGGAACCGCTTGGGGCCTTCGCAGGGCCGTTTTGCCACCCTCCTGACCGCTTTGGGCCCGCTGGCTAAGCCCGGACAGGGCGTCCAGGTGGACCGGAGGCCCAGGGGACCCCTTGCAAGAGCGTCCAGGGGGGTCCGAAAATCCCCAGATCCCGGGGGTACGGATTTACCAGGGGGGGGGTCACCCGTGAAAAAAAGAGAACGCCCCAGGGATCCGTTCCCGTTCCCGTTCCCGTTCCCGTTCGCGTTCCCGCTCCCGTTCCCGTTCCCGTCGTCGTCGTCGTCGTCGTCGTCGTCGTCGTCCCGTCGTGGTCGTCGTGGTCGTGGTCTCCGTCCACCCTGAAGGGGGGTCGAGAGGGAGGCTCCAGAAAGGCTGCGGACGCTTGGAGGCTTGTTGGGCTCTCCTGAGAGGCCTCTCGGGGGCCTCTTGGAAGCATGTTGCAAGTCTCTTGGGGCCCGTAGGGGTCTTCGTGGGGACGTCAGGGCGGAGGACTTGGGGGTCTCCTGGGAGTTCGTTGGCGGTCTCGGAAGGTCTCTGTCAGACGCCTACGGCGAATCACCGCCGCCCCTTGCCTTTTGGAAACGCCGACGCGGCCAAGCGTTACGGCGAAGTTTGGCCCAGGTGTTGGACCAGGTGTTCACCCAGCCGTTGTTGAAACCCTTGGGGAAAACACTTGGGTGAGGAAGATGGGGGAGGAGCAGGATAGAGGGGGATGATGGTGATGATAACGAAGAGGCACATGAGATGATAAGGAGGGGGGAGGAGGCCTCTTGGAGGGCTTTTGGGGCTTCCTGCGGGCTTTTGGAGGCCTTTTGGGGCCATCTGGACTCCTTTTCGGGCAATCTTGGCCGTCTTGGAGGGCATCTTCGGTCGCCTCGGGGGCCATGCAGGGCCGTCCTGGCAGTCTTCGACGGCATGCTGGCCGTCCTGGAGGCCACATTGGACCATCTTAGCATGCTTGAATGCAATCTCTTACGTGTCTTAGGCCATCTTGGAGGCAATATTATCCGTCCAGGAGGCCATCTTGGCCGTCGTGGAGGCCATCCTCAGCGTAGCCCACCCAGCCATGGTTCTGTCAATGCGCTCGTACATATCCAGCTGCCTGCGGCAATTCCCGCCACCGTGGTGCTGATGATGATGCTGATGATGATGATGCTGATGATGCTGATGAGGATGATGAGGATGATAATGCTGATGACGACGATGATTCTGATGACGACGATGATGATGACGATGACGATGATGATGATGATGATGATGATGATGACCATGACAATGACGATAACGATGACGAGGATGATGATGTTGATGATGATGAGTAGGAGTAGTAGTAGTAGTAGTAGTAGTAGTAGTAGTAGTAGTAGTCGTAGTCGTAGTCGTAGTCGTAGTCGTAGTCGTAGTAGTAGTAGTAGTAGTAGTAGTAGTAGTAGTAGTAGTAGTAGTAGTAGTAGTAGTAGTAGTAGTAGTAGTAGTAGGAGTAGGCCTCTGGGAGGCCTCTGGGAGGCTTCTTGGGTCGTCTGGGAGGCCTCTGGGAGGCTCTTCTGGGTCGTGTGGGAGGCCCTGGGAGGCCGTGGGAGGCTTGCCGTTCCTGTTTCCGTTCGCGTTTCTTGGGTCGGCTAGAAAGCTTAGGGGGGGTAGACGGGCACGCGACCGGGCGGGAACGGAACGGGAACGGGAACAGGAACGGAACGGGAACGGGAACGAGAACGGGAACGGAACGGGAACGGGAACGAGAACGGGAACTGAACGGGAACGGGAACGAGAACGGGAACGGACCTATAGGGCGTTCTCTCCCTTTTACGGGGGTCCCCCCCCCGGGGTTGTAGAAATATAGAAAAGGGAATATATATATATATATGTATAGAGAGAGAGAAAGAGAGAGAAAGAGAGACAGAGAAAGAGAAACAGAGAACAATCAAACACAGAAAGCGATACATATATATATATATATATATATGTGTATATATGTATATATATATATATAACAAACAAGCGGCACACACAAACTTTGACGGTCCGCGCGGACTTCTTGGATCTGCGCTTGACCCCCCTCGGCTGCGCCTCTGGCGCCGCCCATTGCGCGTTCCTCGCACCCAGGAGAGGGGGTCCAATGCGGATCTAAGAAATCGACGCGGACTGTCAAAGGTTATGTTTATGCCGTCTCCCTCCTTCGGGGAGCAGGCTCGCCGGGAGAGGGCAGGAGGCGGGCCAGCGAGCAAAAGCAGGGAGAGAGACTGACGTCCATCCCACCACTACATACGTCAACACAAGCTGAACGGATAGAAGCGCACTGCACAAGCGAGACACGCGTGCCTGGGCGTGCTGGTGCATCCTGGGTGAGCACGGAGCACAGAGGCGACGCAGGAGGGGGGGGCGGGGGGGGGGAGAGAACGAGGGCGGAGGAGGACCGAAGAGGTGGAGGAGGGAGGAAGGATGAGTAGGAGTGAGGGGGAAGGAGGAGGAGGAGGAGGATGGAAGAGGATGGGACACCCGACCGCCCCCATCATCGAGGCGTCGAGGTGGAGGTTCCAAACACCCCACCGAGCCCCCCGAGCGCGGGATGGTCTGGCGAGGCGGGGGGGGGTCCTCCTCCTCTATTTCTTCTCCTTATGAACAACTCCTCACTGTCGCACCCCGAGGCCAGAGGGAATGACGGGCCGGGCGTTGCGCCTTAGACATCCTCACCGTTTACGATCCCGAGGCTTACAACATGGATCCTCACAGTTTCACGGATTCTCACAGTTTCACGGATGGAGGGCGGGTCGCTTTCAAACTATGGCTCTTTTTTAAGCGCCGCGTACACCCGTCTGAAAAACTCGCAAGCGTTTCACGGATTGGGGACAAGTCGGTTTCAACATGTGGCTCTCGCCTTATCTCCGCGCACCTCCGTCTTACAAGTGTGCACGAGTTTCGCGGGCCGAGGCTAAAACATGTTGCTCCAGCCTTAGCACCGCACGCAATCGCCTCAACAATTTGCAAGAGCTTCGCGGATGGAGGGCGGGTCGTTTTCAAAATGTGGCTCTCACCGTAGCGACGCACACAATCGTCATGACAAGATGCAGAAGTTAGGGAGCCCACAAAGGACGTACGCGCCCAGCTATGTACATGAGCGCGGCCCCTCGATTCGCGAGACCGGCCGCGTTATACGAACATTTGTGCAATGCATGCTCTCGAAACCAGCGTGGATTCATGTACACCCTGCGAAATGGTTAAGAAATCATGGGTTAAGAAATTCATAGTCTCAGAACTTGTATAAAAAACACAACATTTCTATTAAAATCTTGGGATTTACGTTGAAACATTAAGAATAATCGAGACCCTGGCCGAACACGTAGGTTTTCTTAAGCATCGCCTAAGGTGTACATGTAACATGTACACCCTGCGAAATGCTTAAGAAATCATGGGTTAAGAAATTCATAGTCTCAGAACTTGAGTAGAAGCCCAGAATTTCCATCGAAATCTTAGGATGTACATGGAAACATTAAGAATAATCGAGATCCTGGCCGAACACGTAGGTTTTCTTAAGCATCGCCTAAGGTGTACATGTACGTCCTTCTTTCGCTCCCGAGAAGCTTCGCGGACGGAGGGCGGGTCATTCTCAAGATGCAGCGCTCGCGCGCCGCGCACGGTCGTCACAACACATGCAACAATGGAACGGAGGAGGAGGAGGAGGAGGAGGAGGAGGAGGAGGAGGAGGAGGATCCATCCGCGAGGGCCCCATAGTAGGGATCCTACAACAATGGTCGGATGGAGGGCTGCGCTCCTTCTCAAAGGGTGGCTCTCGCCTTAGCGCCGCGCATATTCGTTCTGAGAGTTGACAACCGGCTCAAGGGTTCTCACGGTAACCGTCCCAGGAATAATGTTCTGGCATGATGTCGGACTGTCAGGGCGCACCAATTACGTTGATTCGTGGTGTTGATGTCCCAGGCATGGTTGTCTGGCGCGGTTCAGGATCGCCAAGACACAACAATACTGGCGACCCGCGACGTTGAAGTCCCATGAATGGTGTTCGGGCACCGTTCCGGAATTCTAAACGGTTATTCTCCAACGGGGCACTTCCTCCATTGAAAACGAATCCTTGCGGGGGCCTGTGAGGAGGGAGCCTGGAGGGAAGGTGTATTGCAATATCTCTGATGGGCCTTGGGTTCACACTGGCCTCCTCCTCCTCCTCCTCCTCCTCCTCTTCCTCCTCCTCCTCCTCCTCCTCCTCCTCCTCTCCTCCTCCCTCTCTTTTATGGCCACCTCCTCCCTCCACCGTCACTCTTCCCCCTCCCTTCCTCCGCATTCGGCTTCCGCCCCTTCTCCCCCCCTTCCTCTCCTCTGCGGGGCGCGGCTGCCTGGGCCGCTGCAGCCACGGGTGCCGCAGGCACTGCCCCGCAGTGGGGCGGTCCTCGGGCCTCGCGCGGGGGGGGGGGCGCCCTGGGCGACCACAAGAGCGACGGCGGCCGCCTTCCTCTCTCGTCTCCACCCTCGTGCCGCACCCAGACTGACGAGAGAACTAAACCAGTTGGTACTTGCCTTGGTGCCCCTGGTCTCCCAGCTGTGTCTCCTGACCTTGATCTCCCAATTGAAGTTCACTCTCTCGGTCTGCTGATCGTCCCTCCCTGTCTTGGCTTCCCCCGCCTCGCCCTGGCCGTCGCAGTCCCGGGCGACGACGGCGGCGGCCGCTTTGGCGCTACTCCTTCCTCCGTCCTCCTCCTGCCTCCTGCCTCGCCCTCCCACTCGAAAATTCTTTTTCAACTATCCGCCCGCAGTGGATGTCACACTCTTGCTCAAACGTGTGGGCTAAATTATTAGCGCCAATCTGGAATGGGTGCGGAAAAAAGGTACGATGCCGAACAACAAACGCTGTCCCAAATCCCAAACCGACAGCGGCCGCTATTGGGCAGGCGGCCTTCTGACTCAACGGTGCAACGCGCGACGGCGACAGCGAGTCTGATTCAGAATGAACCAGAACTGCTGTCGGTCTTTGTACCCGTGTTTTCCTTAAATACCTATTTCGATCGTCTCGATCAGACATGCGGGCTAAGTTGTTACAATCGGTCAAGCACATCCCGTCAGACAAAGACTATGACCCCTGGGCACCAGTTCAGAAAAGGCGGAGCCTCACGCACCTCATAAGCACAAGGGCCCGCCACCGCTATGGCTGTACGATCCGACAGTCTGGTAGCATTCTCCTCCTCTCCCCCCGCCTCCTCCTCCTCGCTCAGATTCCTCTCTTCCCTCCTCATCCTCCCCCCTCCTTCTCGTCCTTCCCTTCTTATTATCATTCTTCCTCCTCCTCCTCCTCCTCGTCATCGTCCTCGTCCTCCTCCTCCTCCTCCTCCGCCTTCCTCCCCCCTCACCCTCCTGCCCTCCCTCCCCGCCCACCTGGACTCCTGCTCGGTGGACCACAAGGAAGAGCGCCCTTCTGGCCTGGCCAGAACGCCACTCCCGGGTCCAGGACCTGGCACGGTCGGGACCGGCGTGCAAGTGGGCGGCGAGCGTCTCTGAACCGGCCCAGCACGCAAGGGGCCCAGACCCCCTCGCGTCGCGAAAAAATCAAGACGGGAGGTTTTTGACTATTTTCGCCCTCTGGAGGTCCTCGCCGGGCCTCGGGACCGTCAAAAAACGACTCGGAATGCAAAACCGATCCAGGCGAAAGGGTCCAGACCTCTGGGGGTCGACGTTGCGAAAAAATCACGACGTCGGGGTCGGGGGGCCAGGGCCGCGAACGGCAGAGGCAGATCATCGGCAGCGCGCCCAGGGGTCAAGCCTTCTCAGGAGGCGGTGGCGTGCGGGTGGGGCCTTCTAGAAGCCCTCTCGGCATGCCGAGGAGGCACTCCTAGTGCTCTTCGGGGAAGGAGTCGTAGTTGTTACGTTAAGGGGAAAAAAACTTAGGAAAAATTTCTCGGCAACAAGACCCCTTCGGTTCCAGAACCTTTCTGAGTTCGATGGCCGCCCCGCAGCCCGCCGCCCCGCCCCGCCGCCGATCCTCTGCTCTACTCTTACCCCTGGGCGCGCCCCGCCCCCGCGATATCATGGATATGAAGAGGGAGAGTGATCGAGACCACTCGCAGCACGACAGAGACCAGACTCGCGCGCCCAGGACCCTGCGTCCACGCGAGGCACGTGAGATGAAGCATCACATGCCCGACGCCTCGCAATGAGGAGGCCTGTGCCCCGCAACCTCCTCCGCTTCCACCTCACCCTTCTCCTCCTCCTCCTTCTCCACCTCCTCCTCATCATCATCATGATCCTCATCCTCATCCTCATCCTCATCCTCATCACCATCAGCATCCTTATCCAGCATCCATCCTCCTCCTCATCCTCCTCATCATCCTCATCATCCTCCTTCTCATCCTCATCCTTATCCTCATCCTCATCCTCATCCTCCTCATCATCCTCATCATCCTCCTTCTCATCCTCACCCTTATCCTCATCCTCATCCTAATCCTCATCCTCATCCTCATCCTCATCTTCATCCTCATCCTCATCCTCGTCCTGATCCTCATCCTCATCCTGTTCCTCATCCTCATCCTCATATCTATCCTCATCCTCATCCTCATCCTCATCCTCCTCCTCCTCCTCCTCCTCCTCATCATCATCATCATCATCATCATCATCATCATCATCATATCATCATATCATCATATCATCATCATCATCATCATCATCATCATCAGCATCATCGTCATCGTCATCGTCATCGTCGTCGTCGTCGTCGTCGTCGTCCTCCTCCTCCTCTTAGCATTCGTCCTCTCCCTCCTCCAACTCCTAGCCTCCATCCCCTTGGTTTCCAATTTCTCCTCGTCCTCCTCTTCCCTCTTCTCTCTCCTCCTCCTCCTCCCTCCTCCTCCTCCTCCTCCTCCTCCTCCCCCTCTCCTCATCCTCCTCCCTCCTCCTCCTCCCCTCCTCCTCCTCCTCCTCCTCCTCCTCCTCCTCCTCCTCCTCCTCCTCCTCCTCCTCCTCCTCCTCCTCCTCCTCCTCCTCCTCCTCCCCCCTATCCTCGTCCAATTATTTCACTTGTTCCTCCTCCTCCTCCTCCACTCCTTTCCATGTGAGCAACTCCCTGCTGCCGCGCCCCGAAACGTGCTGGCAGGGCTGGCGGGCCGGGCGGCTCGCCCGAGACTTGCTCGCGACGTGTGATCCTGAAGCTTCAAATCTGCAGCAGCTTCACGGATTGAGGGCGGGCGGTTCTCAGAACGTGGCTCTCACCTCGGCGCCGAGCACATCCGCCTTCAAGGATGGAGGCGGACCCTTGGCAAGATGTGGCTCTCGCCCAGGCGCCGCGCGCACTCGTCTGCAAGGCCTGCAAGAGCTTCTCGGGTGGAGGGCGGGTCGTTCTCAACGTGTGGGCTCTCACCCTAGCGCCGCGCACCATCGTCAACCTTGCTTCACGGATGGAGAGAGGCTGGTTCTCAAAATGTGGCACTCGCCTCATCCCCGCGCACATTTGTTCTGAAAGTTTGCGGGAACTTCACGGATGGATGGCGGCTTCTTTTCACAACGTGGTTGTCACAACAGCGTCGCGCGCATTCGTTTCAAAAGTTCGCAAGAACTTCACGGATGGAGGGCGGACCGTTTTCAAAATGTGGTTCCCACGTTGGCGCCGCTCACATTCGTTTGCAAAGTTTGCAAACAGCTTCACGGATGGAGGGAGGGTCCTTTTCAAAATGTGGTTCTCGCCCCAGCGCCGCGCACATTCGTTTTGAGAGTTTGCAGGAGTTTTTTGGATGGAGGGCAGGTGGCTCTCAAAATGTGGCGCTCGCCTCAGCGCTGCGCACACTCGCCTCCACCAATCTGCAAAAGCTTCAAGGGCGTTTTCGCGACGTGGCTCCCGCCTCCGCGCCGCACGCATTCGCCCAAACGTTCTCAAACATTCACGGATGACCATTTTCAAATTTGACTATGGCCTTAGCGCCGCGCGCACTCGTCTTTAATATTTGCAAAGAGCTTCACGTATGGAAGGCGGGTCGTTCACAAAATGTGGCTCTCACCGTGGCACCGCGCACCGTCGTCAACAGTTTGCAAGTGTTTCACGGATGGAGGGCGGTCGGTTCTCAAAACGTGGTTCTCGCCTCAGCGCAGCGCACATTCGTTTCGAACATTTGCAAAAGCTTCACGGATGGAGGGCGGTTTCTTCTCGAGATGCCGTTTTCGCTTCAGCGTTGCGCACATCCGTCTTGGAAGTTTGCCAAGCACAGATGGCGAGCAAGTCCTTCTCAACATGTGGTTTTCGCTGCAGCACCGCGCGCATTCGTTCTGCAAGTGTGCAAGAGCTTCGCGAACGGAGGGCGGGTCGTTTTCAAAATGTGGCTCTCGCTTCAGCGCCGCGCACACTCGTCTCGAAGTTTATGTACAAATAACTTCGCGGAAGGAGGGCGTGTAATTTTCAGCACGCGGTTCTCGCTCCGGCGCCGCGCACAGTCGTTTTGAAAGCAAGTCCGCAAGAGCTTCACGGATGGAAGGAGGAGGAGGAGGAGGAGGAGGAGGAGGAGGAGGAGGAGGAGAGGGAGAAAGAGGAGGAGGAGGGGAAAAAGAAGAGGAGGAGGAGGGATGAAGAAGGAGGAGGGGGAGGAGGGCGCTCCGAAAGTCTGCAGGAGCTTCACGGATAGAGGGCGCCTTCAAAGCGTGGCTTTCGCCTCAGCGCCGCGCGCGTTCCACCTGAACAAGATGCAAGGTCTTCACGGGTTGTTCTCAAAATGTGAAAGAAGGATGATCCTACCAGTGAACCTATCCACATTTGCCCACCCCCTGGGGGACAGCGCCCGCACTATGAGTCGGGATGCCCCCCGGAGACCCTTGCGCCTCAAGGGCAGCGCACAGTGAGGTGAGAGGTAGAGCTATGTTGGTGTTGCCACCGGCCAAGCCTGCACCATCGTACACAAACTGTGGCTCTCGCCTGAGGGCCGCGCGCACTCGTCTTAAAAGCTTGCCAAGAGCTTCACGGATCGAGGGCGGGTCGTTTTCAAAATGTGCAGTGGCGCTCGCCTGAGCGACGCGCGCATTGGCAACAGTTTCGCCGATGCAGCTTCACGGATAAAATGTACTTCTCGCATTGGCGCCGCGCCACGCACTTCCATCTTACAGCAATTCATCGGAACCCTCATGGCTGACGTCCCAGAAGTCGTGTCCCCGCACCATGAGGACTGTCAGGGCGCAACGGTCACGTTAATTCGCGGTGATCCGCCACCGTGCTCCGAGGCACGAATTGGAATACTCTCAAGCCCCCATGTCCTATCCCCTGGAGCCTCAGCCCTCGATCCTGATGATTATTTTGAGGAGCCCGGCCCCGAAATTGCCAGATCTTCCAGGGCCCCCGGGCGTGCCCCCTTGGGCTCCAGGGCGTGCTCTCGGATGATTCTCTCGGGGCCAAGAGAGGCCCAAGACGGGCCATCAGGGTACCAGGAGGCCT